TGGAAAACTTACATTTTTATTAAAACCAAAATATGTATCAAGCAATATTGCCAATAATGTAGAGATTCGAGCAATTAATATCCTTCAATCTAAAATATAAGCATTTTAATTGGGACATTATTGGTCGAGTGACCACAATAATATTAAATTCTCCATTATATACTCGTATTAATTTATTTCAAGGCACTATAAAAGGACCAATCTAGTTTCTCTACTGATCGATCGTATCTGTCATATTGTATCTCTTTTCTCCATCCGAATATTTTCTTACTCTCAAAGAATCAGAAACTTTCCTTCGTTAATCCTCCCACTTTCTCGTTTCATTTTCCCGGAAAATCTACCCTAGATATCTTTCATAAACACATACATATATATACACCATAATTAACCTCACAGTTTCTGTCTTCCATACCAAAAAAATGGATTCGACGGAGGAAACTGAAACGATTAAGAGATACAACTCAAATCCGTTTAGCTTCTGTATTAAACCACTCGCCGTCATCGTACTCCTCGCCGCCGGTTACTTTTGTGGACCGGCGATTATTTATTTAATGCAATTTATAATAGTTTGGTACGATTGGTTCCGTTTCTTCATGAGTAACATTTTCTACGTTTTCCTTGCCGTTGTCGCTCTCGTCGGTTCGATAATATACATACAACAACATTGGGAACAGAGAAAAATCGCCGAAGAAAAATCAGATCTCTACGACCAATATGTCTCCGCTCGAGAGTATAATTATCGTGTGACGGAGGTTGAAGATGATTATAATAATAGTAATAGTAACAACTCGAGTTACAAGGAGATTGTTGCACCGGCGTTTCAAGCGGTTAAGGAGTATAATTGTTGTGATCGTCGAGCAGTAATGGAGGAGGTGAGTACGAAGAGTTACAGGAGGACGAGATCGGAGAGGAAGATGGAGAAGAAGGGGATGAGGATGATGGAGTATCGGAGGACGGAGTCGGAGAGAGTGGAGAAAACGGCGTCGTGGAGGTCGGAGACGATGGATGGGTTAAGCAGTGAGGAGTTTCGTATGACGGTGGAGACTTTTATCACCGAGAAGAAGAAGATGCTTCTCTGGCAAAGCGGCGGCGTTGACCGGTGGCAAAACGGCGGCGTTGACCAGTGGCAGAACGGTGTCGGTCAATGGCAAAACAATGTCCCTCAGTTGCAAAACGGTGTCGGTCAATGGCAGAACAATGTACCTCAGTTGCAAAACGGGGTTGACCATCGTCAAAACGATCGTCAAAACGATCGTCAAAACGATGTCGTTCAATGGCTAAACAATGTCCCTCAGTTGCAAAACGGTGGCTTTGACCAGTGGCAGAACAATGTCCCTCAGTTGCAAAACGGCGGCGTTGACCAGTGGCAGAACGGTGTTCCTCAGTGGCAAGGATCGCCTCAGGATGGAAGTGGTCGTCATCATCGTCATCAGGATCGTAGTCAAAGGCTCGTGGGTTGCTCTGGCCCTAATGGGTCTGGTTCCTACTTAGCTATTTCGAATTAGAGGGGGCTCAAATATGTAAAATTTGATTTTAATTTATTATTAGGAAAATCAGATTTGAGAGGAAGAATTTATAATTTCATTGTAGCTTTTTTAAACTATGTTTATAATTCTAATTTCGGTGGGTTTTTATTTATTTACGGTCAATATGTATATGTGGCTATTAATTTGTGTCACATGATAGGATGTAGGTTATTGCTCAGTTATGGTCCAAAAATGGTAGAAACAATATCAACTTAGAACAAAAGTAAAAAAAATAAAAATAATAGATATATATATTTTTTTTTTTGTTAACACTGAAGTTTACGTAATTAGGTCACATACGCTTCCATGAAGCAGTTTTCCGTGTTAGGACACCTTCCATGATGGACAAGGTCTTCTGAACGAACAGCTTTGTATGTGTAACATCTTTCATGATGAACCGACTTTTCCCG